GCTGCGCACGTGTGAAGTGCGCGAGAAGACGGCATACGGGATTTGGAGGAGGGGGGGGGGCATGGAAAGGTTTGTAGGTTAAGAATGCACAACTTGTTTCTTTACTCTTTGATCTTTGTGATTGAGCTAAAAGATATAAAGAACTCTTGGTCCTGTCGCATGAGCCTTGAGTTAACCAAACCCAATGTGTAAACCAAGTTCAACATTAAAACCTCCTAACATCCTTCAGATATACGGAGGCCTTGGAAAATGATTTCACGAGGTTCAAAAGCAGAAAGAAATTCTCACACTAGAGTGGTTTTGGACAAGAGCAAATGTACACTTACTCAGTCTATTTTCTGAAGTGACCCCCCCAAAGCCTCGGATAAGAGCTTCACTCAGTTTTCTTGAGCGGCTGCCCCCTCCCACTTTTACCCATCTACCACCAGCTAACCCTTCCAAGTACCCTGTACAGGTTACCATAACAACCACGACCTCTGGCACTGCACCAATTAGAAAACAATCAGCCTTGAGAGACCAAAGTGGAGTGAGCTTGGCAGCTGGTACTGTAGCACATGGGTAAAAGATAAGTAGCAAACAAAAGCCAAAGGAGAAGAAGAAAAAAAAGCCCACAGAGCATAAAAGCAGATCCTCAGGGTGATTTTCTTTCATATTTAATGAAACTAAAGCATAGGTTGTGTTGACTTTAGAAAACATCAGTACGAAACAGCCATACTTCTCTTTAAGCTCTAATGGAACGAAATGTGTCTGGATGATTCATTGCATTATTTGCTTTTGAGAAAGCTTAGCAATTGTGTTGCTTCAACATGTTGTCACCTTAAAGTCACAATGTCCAAAGGTACAGTATAAGTAAAATGAGGCTGGCATGTAAATTATATAATAATTACACAGCTTATATACACTATTAGTTGAACCATCTTAAGCAAACAAGATCACAGTTATGGAAATAATGACAGTAGCCCCTAAAAACGCTGCTCAAGTTGAACTTTGTTAATGCCCATAAGCAAGTAATGACTGAAACTGTTTAGTTGCTCAGTCAAATTGCTGCTTCCATTTCATTTTTAATGTTGCTCTTGCGTAAGAGAATACGGTAAAGGTTTCTTTCTTGTTATTTGCATCATATGTGGTACATGTGATGGAATGAAATTGTGTACACAGGGTCCCAGTTACATCCAGCAAAAGTATAAATTGTAAAAGAAAAACAGAACCGGTAATAAGATCCAAGATATGAACTAAGAAATACGCTAAACTAATACGCTAACACTAATACGCTAACACTAATACGCTAACACTAATAGTACAAAAACAATATGCTGAACA